GTGAGTGGGCTGTTTAGAGGGAGAGAGCTACTATGAGATGACGATATTATTGCAAATACAGTTTTTTTTTTAAAATTGTATTTGCTGTTTGGATGTGTTTTAGTAGATACAGTGAAATGAGTTGCAAAGGCTTTAAAGCGGAAGTCAGCAATATATTGTGTTGGACATACTTCATATGTGCTATGTACTGACTCGGTAGCTTGTGAAGCTTGCACACAAGAATTTCACTCACATGTGCTGTACCAGTGCACCAGTAATGTGGTGTGACAACAAATTTGATTTGATTTTGATTTGACCACTGAATTATAGTTTCTACCAAACTGGCAGTGGGTGAAAAGAGGAGAAAAAAGAACAAAGAAGGGCAAAACGAAAAGAAAGAGTTAAAGTTATATAATAAATTCAGTCTGTAATTTGAGATATCTGTCTACAGATCAGCAGAGAGTCCTTCAGAGATCAAAGCATGTTTTGGAGATTGAAGATTGTAGTGTTGTGTTTACTGTCCGAGAAAGTCTGGAAAATTCTACCTCCTCTCACTTCATGACCCCCACTTCCAATCCAGCAGAGGTAAATTTCACGTTTTTGTTTATCTAGATTTTTAATAGTTTTATGCATCCTTATGAAATGAACATTGTCCATTTTATTATAATATTAATGTAAGCAGGGGTTTGCTACAAATTGATAGCTGTTCTCATTTGCATGTCTTCCCAATCACAGACTCCTGAGCACATTCCTGCCTCATCTCTTCTGCCAAGCGATGACGGGTATGAACTACATGTTAATAATTATCTTAGTTACTTAAATGTCCACATGCTCAGCAAGAACTTGAGAACATGCTTGCCTGTTTAGCCTGCTCTGCTGATCTTTACTGTGAGGAGGGGAGAGTTTTAGTCAGGAGGCTCGCTCAACCTGGTGCTGCAGATGAAGTTAGTGATTGGAAAGCTGAGGTAGACGCTCTCTTTGGTGGCTACTTGTGCCATTATGAGGTAAACCCTGACAAAGTTGAAGCTTTGGTTCAGTCCAGCAGCTCTTGTCAGACTGCAGGTGAAGTGAAGGTGTACACAGATGTGTCTGGGAAGAGTCTGAAGTGACTGTTGCTGCTGTGAAGGACTTTGGTAGTGTGAGAGGTTAAAGTCTGAGCCAAGTCATCCCGTTTGATAACAGAGAGGAGGTGGTGAGGGCCATACAGGAACCATGTGACAGGCTTCTCCAAGGGATAGATACACCTGATGAAGATACAGCAAGAGGAGCCACTGCCAGAGCTCCTGGAGGCAGAGTCCACATGGAGGTTATTCAGGGACTAATCGAGAGCCAACAGGTGAAAAATGCTGCTGTAATTAAGATAAATCACAACTCACAATAAAACACATTTTCTAAACCCACCAAATCTCCTGATCTTGTCCTAGGTGGATGCTTTGGTGTCTCCTATGGTTGGCCATAATCCTCACTCTACCCGTGTTGGAAATGCTTTATTTGCAGTAGCTGGACGCCAGCTGACCACAAGGTTTAGAAAGGAAACAGACGATGAAACAATGCCTGGTGACTCAGTACTGCTGGAGGGCTTACCTGGACTTCAGTCTAGTGCAGTCTTCTTCCTCAATCTTGTTCCCTGGAATGGTGACCCAGACGGCGTGCCAGTCCAGGTGAGATAGTAAAGGAGGGATTTTATTATACTGCCTGTTTGTGAGGACACTTTTAATGGAGTCATTTGCCATAATCCAGTATTTTTACCCACTATAGGTTCTT